TGGTGACACCACTGTCCACATGACCATAATTGTGATGCTGACTATGATTTATAGGGTAATGGGTGGCGAACTGTTTGATAGGATTGTCGAGAAGGGCAGTTACACCGAGAAGGACGCCTCACACCTGATCCGACAAATATTAGGTGCCGTCGATTACATGCACTCGTGTGGAGTGGTTCACAGAGACCTTAAAGTATGATCTCTTGATCCATATTGTGTTCATTTCATTGATAATTATTAAATATAAAATCTTATCGTTTTGTGACGAATAGCCCGAAAACCTTCTGTATTATAGTGCAGAAGAAGACTCGAAAATAATGATCAGTGACTTCGGACTCTCCAAAATGGAAGATTCAGGAGTAATGGCCACCGCGTGTGGAACCCCTGGATATGTGGCCCCCGAGGTGTTGGCACAAAAGCCTTACGGCAAGTCAGTGGACGTGTGGAGCATTGGAGTGATTGCATACATATTACTGTGCGGTTATCCGCCCTTTTATGACGAGAACGACGCCAACCTTTTTGCTCAGATATTGAAAGGAGACTTCGAGTTCGACAGCCCTTATTGGGACGAAATCTCTGATTCGGCCAAAGACTTCATTAGGCATTTAATATGCGGTCTCTATCGTCACCTATAGATAGATTGCAATTGTTTTTATAACTTATTATTTGTATTCATTTCAGTTGATGTGACCAAACGCTACACATGTAAGCAGGCATTGGCTCACCCTTGGTATGTCCTAAATTGGTGTCTTACGGTATACTGTCATATAAGACTAATGTACTGTATATGTGAATAATGGTAGGATATCTGGCGACACCGCCAAAGACATGAATATTCACGGATCAGTGAGCGAACAGCTGAAGAAGAACTTTGCCAAAACCAAATGGAAAGTAAGTTCACGATTGCATCCATTGCCGCAATGTTCTAATGACAACTGTATGTATATACACATAGCAAGCATATAACGCCACAGCAGTGATAAGACAGATGCGAAAGCTAGCAATGGGTAGTTCTGGCACTTCTTTAGACCAAACAAGTGATGCAGTGATAACTGATTCATCTGATACTCAAAGCGAACTCTTCACCAAATTAACAAATTTGGAAACAGAGGATACTGTTAGCCCTATTCGGACAGTTAGTTCTTCCGATTGATCGACACAATTATATCATATTATTTGGTAATCTCTTAATGTGTAATAAATACTCATCTGATTAAGTGATGCAAATCTCAACCTTAAGGGTAAACATGAAACCCATATCTCATCAGAACTTTACAAAATATCTTTAGTCCAATCGATTATAAGATATATTTAAGTAATTGTTTAATTGATATCAAATGAAAGTCGAAATAAGAAAAACGATTCAAGAATCTTATCATTACTTATTGATTGTTGGAATGAATAGACAAAAGCTTTTAAACACGTTATCAAATAATTACAGTCTATGATGTCTACAGTAATTTATTGTATAATTAATTGTATTATACATTCAATTATTTATACTAATGACGGGTTATGTTTGTTTATTACAAGTTTATCATTTTTGCGTTTTTCTTAATGTTTAGGTTGTATTCAACAAAAGGGTTCATATCTTATAATATATGCTTTATTTGCTATATTTTCATGACATTAACAATCTATGCATTGATGATTATTCTATTTTATTATGTTATTTTTATTATTTGTTTTACTTTTTAATTGTTTTGTTATGTTTTTATGAATTTTAATTTTATTATGATTTTATGAATTGTTAGCTGAAATCAAATTCTAGTGTTTGATGTTTATATTGAGATATCACAAGACATTTATTTTATACAAGTCGGCAATTTTAAACATTGATCGCAATAATTGCAACAATAATTTAAATATTTTAATATATCATATGATTATGAATGAGATGTTGACAAACAATTGCCAAAATTACATAACATTGCAATCCTTATACTTTACTCATTCACTCATCACTAATGCATTCCTTATTAGTCTTTATTTAATTTGATTTCAATTCAATTGATTTGTTATAACTTAAAAACATTAAAATGTGATTGAATATCAAATAATTACAGTCTATGATGTCTACAGTAATTTATTGTATAATTAATTGTATTATACATTCAATTATTTATACTAATGACGGGTTATGTTTGTTTATTACAAGTTTATCATTTTTGCGTTTTCTTAATGTTTAGGTTGTATTCAACAAAAAGGGTTCATATCTTATAATATATGCTTTATTTGCTATATTTTCATGACATTAACTATCTATGCATTGATAATTATTCTATTTTATTATGTTATTTTTATTATTTGTTTTACTTTTTAATTGTTTTGTTATGTTTTTATGAATTTTAATTTTATTATGATTTTATCAATTGTTAGCTGAAATCAAATTCTAGTGTTTGATGTTTATATTGAGATATCACAAGACATTAATTTTATACAAGTCGGCAATTTTAAACATTGATCGCAATAATTGCAACAATAATTTAAATATTTTAATATATCATATGATTATGAATGAGATGTTACCAAACAATTGCCAAAATGACATAACATTGCAATCCTTATACTTTACTCATTCACTCATCACTAATGCATTCCTTATTAGTCTTTATTTAATTTGATTTCAATTCAATTGATTTGTTATAACTTAAAAACATTAAAATGTGATTGA